GGACTTCGCCCAAGAAGTCGCGCTACTCTCACAGCCCTCCAACCTGCATAGCCGAAAGTCATACAGCCATTGCTGGGAGGGGTCCTGCCTAAAGTCAAGTGTTACTCCAACTTGCCCAGTCCTGGCGAATGATCCCCAGGAAGCCCTGAAGCCACGAGCTCGTCGGGGTCGTCGTGGATGATGCCCTGCCTGGGTTCCGACGGTCGAGCGTCGGAAGGCGCAGCCGGCGGCTCCACAGTGGCATCGGGACTCAATCTGCCCAAACCAAAGGGCGCCATAGCCTGGCGACAGGCCCTGCGCTTGTCGGAGAGCTTGGCTGCAAGGGCACTTTGCCCCTGCGAAGGAGCATTCGGCATGGCTCTCGGATCCAAGGCGTTGGCAGCATGGGCCCTTACCACTGCATCCGCCAGTCCCGGCGGCGTCGGGTAAGCATCGGACACAGCAAGCGCATCCCTTTCCGTCCCTGGCCATACGGCTCCTGGAGTCGGAGAACGGGGAGGAGCCCCAGTTCCTCGCTTCGGGGTAACCTCTGCAGCTCGAAGCATCCTGTTGAGCTCGATCCTGGTTTGCTCTTCGGTGAGATCGTCGTCGATCTCCATGGCCTCTTCCCACTCCAATGGTGGGGGCTCGATCCTCTCGGCTGCCTTCTGGTGCATAGCAGCTTGTTGTACGTTGACGTAGGCTGCGTGAGTCATCTCCTCTAGTTCTCTGATATCCGTAGCCAGTCGTTTTTGCTCTGCCCGGTGCCTTTCCAGCTCTCGTGCATAGGTGGATCGCATCTCGCGAACCCATGTGTCCCATGCGTTCCCTTTTTTCAGGGATTCTTGCTGTAGTCGGTGTAGTCGCTGCTCCACTTTCCGGGCCTGGTTGATTGCAGCTTGGACGTCTTGGACGATGCCTCCACGGGCCGTCCCTCCAGCACTGGTTGCGGACGAACTTACCTCCATAAGTTCCGCAGACTGCTTCCAACCGGCGTCGTACGCCGGGAACGACACTTTCTCGGACTTCGAGCTCTGCCGGGGCGAAGACTTCCACGTACCAGACCAAAAGGCCCAGGATCGGGACTGCCCATTTTCCCCAGGCTGTCCGCCTCCCTGGTTGGCTTGGCGCCCTTGCGTTCCTTGTTGGCGCCATGGTCGTCCGTCAGCTCGGTTCTTCCCTCTTCCCATACGTGCCGTAAGTGCAGCCGCAAAGGAAGTGGAAGTAGCGTGGTGACGCCGCAAAGCCTGAACCTGTCGGTGGGAGAGGGGCTTGTTGTTGCGGAACGCCTTCCGAGCCTTAGAGCGTAAAAGACGCTCACGGCGGTGCCAAGCGGGAGATGGCGGCGCACCGAGTCTACCGGCCACTGCTACGGCCGTTCACGGTGCTGGGGCACCAGCTATCCGCCGCTATTGGCGGTATTCTGAGCCCTATGTCGGGGCCTTAATAACTAGAATCGGGTTGTGGGGCCCATGATACTATAATACTAATAATAATAATAATAATGAGCCCCCAAAATAGTGTTGTAAATTCTTAAGGCCCTCTATATTACAGCCCAAATTGTCAGGACCAAGGTTCCCGAACTTGCAGCCCGTGTTGGCTGAGGACATGCTCGCCAGGCCCCCGATGGCGGCAATGCACAGCCTGGGGTTTAGGGGTTAGGGTTCAGGGTTTAGGGTTTAGGGTTTAGGGTTCAGGGTTTAGGGTTCAGGGTTTAGGGGCTTTGGGTGTTTAGGGTTTAGGGGTTTAGGGTTTATAAGCCGTGCGCATGCACGGAGGGCTGAGGCCCCGATGACAGGGAAGGTGTCGAGTTGGAGCCCCGGGCTCCTTTAAGCGATGCTTAGGGTTTAGGGTTTAGGGTTTAGGGTTCAGGGCTGAGGGTTTAGGGTTTAGGGTTAGGGACTCTGTGAGGGTTACTACGCGGCTTGGCTTCAGGGGTTTAGGACTTCAAAGTTTAGGGTTGAGGGTTTAGGGTTTTTTGGGGTTTAGGGCTTCAGGGGTATACATTATCAGTACAATCATGTAGAAACTATGAGTTGGAGTTTAGGCCACTACTAGGGGTCAGGGCTTTAGGGTTCGGGGTGAGTACATCTTTTCCCGCAGCTATTCTTTCTCACTGTCTGCTCTTTACTCGTGACTGCCATCCGCTGTGTCCGCCCATTGGATCGTTCTACGTGCAATTCTCTCTTCCTGTCTGTTAGGCTGATATGATGGCGTGGGAAGAAATGGTTCTGCGATTTGGTCGAAGCATTATAGTGGCCAACGCGACATGTCAGTTCACATCCGGATCAGCCTGTTCGAGTTGTTTTGAGTAGTAGCGCTGCTTCCTCTGCTACTGCTACAATTTACCACTACTACCACTCCTGTTCCTCCTGCTGCTCTTCCCTTCTGCCTCTTGCTGCCGCAGCCGCTGCTACTGCTAGTAACAGTATGAGTGCCGTTCTTGTTCGAAGAGGACTGGCTGCAGCACAAACTTGCCAAGATAGGGCTGGGGAACACCAAGGATCCGAAACTTTCTGAGCCCTGAGCCCTAAAGGCCTATGCTAGTGGCTTGCTGCCTGGCTGCAGTGCAGAGACCGTGCTGACTGCCTTGAGGAGCTCTGGGCTCGTCAAGCTCACGAAAAGGAAGACCAAACCGGGCAGCAGCATGAAGGGAGAGTAGTCCTTGCAGCAATTTACGGATTCGGAGCTGGGGCAGCTTTCTGGCTTCGGATCCAAGGCATGGCGGCAACAAAGGAGCCTCCAGCAGTCCTAAGTGATCTCATAGCTTCCTGTATGATCTCTTGGCAAGAGCCAGTTGACACCGTGTCTGCTGGTGTCTAAGAACTTGTTGATGCACCGTATTTCCGCAGCCGAAGACTTCCACTTGACTCTACAGAGCTGCGTTTCTGTTTGGCCTCCTCTTTCCCGCAAGTCCAAGGCAGAGTTCAGAGAAGGCCGAAGGAGAAGCTTCTGGTGCGGGGGTCATCGGAACATGCATGCACATGCTGCTGCACAGGGCTGCTTTGTCTATAACTAAGTGAATAACTAAGCAGCTAAATACAGCAAGCGGTTCACCGATAAAGGGCGAATACTGTGCCATAGATCCGGCCCTGTAGTACACGCATGTCTGCTCTACATCGCATGCTTGCGTGTGTGTGCATGTTGCTGCAGCCAGTCCACATCCCTGAAAGCTAGGGCCATTCTGGCGGGGTGCGGGGCTTCAGGGCTGCGGTCCAGGCTCAAAAGCCTAACCAAGCCAGTCAAGAAGGGAGAAGAGGAAAGGAAAAAAAGGGAAGCTGCGGAAGCTTGGAGTTTGCGGAATTCAGGGAAGGCTCCCTAAACCCTGGCCCCTAAGCTCTTCAATCTTGACGGTTCGCGCTTGTAGGCTTTGTGTGGTGGCGAGTTTAGAGCAGCTCCGAGCCTGAAACCCCTTACCCTTACCTTTGCTTTGGTTAGTAGGGGATGGAGGAATGGGGTACAATGATAACTACTATTACTACCATTCTTCCATTCCCTACTAACCCTAAACCCTAAACCCTAAACCCTAAACCCTAAACCCTATTCCCTACTAAACAAAGGTAAGTACCGAGCCCGAAACTCTGGAACTGTCAGAGCTGTCGACCGCTAGGCTCTGAGCAGGGCCTTGTCCCCGGGCTTCTTGAAGAGGTCGAGCATGCGCTGCGAGACGACGAAGCCGCCGATGATGTTCACCTTCGGTGGAATGTAGGGGTTACGATTCAGGGTTCTGGGGTTTAGGGCTTTAGGGTTTTAGGGTTCAGAATTTAGGGTTTTGGGGCTTAGGGTTCAAGGGTTTTGGGTTTAGGGGCCTTGACAGTTACCATCGGGCTGGGGGGTAGATTACACTGGAACTATAATAGGAACCTAAACGAGCAGTACTGACACATGTTCAGGCTAAACTATGTGGGTTTCAGAAGATTTCAACCCAGCTTCTAGACATGGTTTACAGGCTTCAATGAAGGGGCAAAAAATGCGACTTCTCACACATGCCCAATGAGATAGAAGTCAGTTCTATGGTCGGCCAGGGCTTGGAGGCTTTCTTGTTACGACTGTTGGAGCTTTGGCCCATGGTTTAAGACTTGGAGCCGCAAAGTTGGGGAGCATCTAGGGCCAATCTAGGGTCAAGCACAGGATGAAACTGGCTAAGGGCAGGAATTCCAGGCAGCCCTTGATACCGAATCCGACCCCCACCCCAATGATTCAACCCAATCCCGGCTTCTTTCAACCAACACCGCAATCTGCATGCTGTCGCGATGGTCATCCCCAGCACCAGGCCCCGCACTGCGGAAACCAGGATCGCGATGAGTGCCAGCAATTGTGCCGAGTAGGAGGACCTTGACACGACCATAGCTAGACCCACGAAATCACGAAATCGCGAAACCTGCTGCCATAAGTTCTGATATAGGGAGGCCGACAAGTTTGGCAGGTCAAATCGCCTCTCGGTTCCTACTATTAACCGTCATTGGTGCCACGGAGTACTTTGCAGCATGGCGACGACTGGACATGTTACGGGAAATCTAACAACTGACCCTCAGCATCAGTAGTAGTCGCCCTCCTCCTCCTCCGCCTCCTCCTCCGCCTCCTTCTGTGCCTCTTCCTCTACTAATAGTAGTAGTAGTAGTAGTAGTAGTAGTAGTAGTAGTAGTGGTAGTAGTAGTAGTAGTAGTAGTAGTAGTAGTATTAGTACTAGTAACTACTAGTAGTACTACTAGTAGTAGTAGTAGTAGTAGTAGTAGTAGGTTGTGAGTGGTAGTAGTAGCAGCAGCAGCAGGGGCAACAGCGGGAGCGTCAGTAGCACGAGTAGAGGAAGAGGACCGCCAGGAAGGAAGAGGTCGCAGCTTTTGAGAGCATCATCCAGACCACACCAGCCAGGCTGCCACGGACCCCAAGTCACGTTCAAGGATCTAGCTTCGGTCTTCATATAGGTAATTCTCTAAATTAGGGTCCCTTTTAGGCCCCATTTTAGATAGCTGCCCATATATGTGAAGCCTCGGGGTTTTAAGTTTTCAGCTTTCGGGCTTGGTTTCGAGGGCTGTCCAGGCTCTCACGTGCACAAGACCACCAGCGCAAAGCAAAGCGACGCTCGGTCAAGCAGGAGGAGACCGCCGATGGCTGTCATGCCAGAAATGGCGTTCGTCACCTGAAAACTTCGGGCTAACGTTTTGGGATAAGGGTTCAGCCTTAGGGAGTAAGTTCAGAGCTTCCGGGAATAAGGCCTAGGGTTTCAGTCGTAGGGTTTCAACGAGGGTTTCGGGTGTTCTAGAACGCTCTTCTGAAGCCACCGATCGAAAGAGTCAGTCCCATAATTCCTGGCGCGCGAGTCTTGCAACACACCCGGGAGAGACTAATTCCGGTCCTTGAATCCTCCATGCCCTTCTCATTTCGTGTTTGGGTTTAGGGTTTAGGGTTTAGGGTTTAGGGTTTAGGGTTTAGGGTTTAGGGTTTAGGGTTTAGGGTTTAGGGTTTAACAAGGCTGACAAGAAACACGACTGATCGTGACACGAGCGACAAAGAAATTAATGATCTCAAGGGTGAAGACTCCTGACTCTCACACCATGCATGGGTTCTTGTTCAGGGATCCCTATTGAAAATAACAGGTTCTCTTTATAATGGCAGCTTAAACTAAACTTCTAAACACGAACCAATGAAGATGCCCGGACTTGGGGTCTGGGTGCTGAGATTGCAAGGCTCAAGTTTTGTCTTGGGGGTCCAAGGTTTGGGGCATGCGCTTGAGGCTTTGGGCCTTGAGGTAGGACCACACAAGAAGGAGCTGCGATCCTTGGTCCACCGACCGTCGTCCTAAAGACCCCAAACTTCCGAACAAAATGCCTTAAGCACCCCAGAAAAAAGTCAGAAGATTGCATGTCCTACAGAACCATGTTTTCCAATAACTCGAGGACAAGGTGCCGACATCAGCGGCGTGTGCAGTGCGTGGGCCACGCCCCAGACTGCCTGGTAGCCTGCGGCCCCGGCCTCGGATCCAAAGGCATACTTCGGTTTGGGGGGTAGATTATATGATTATATCGTATAATCGTATAACTATCGGGACAAGTACTAGAAAAATCAGGCCCAGGCATTACTTTAAGATGACGGGTTCATCTACTCAGAATAGGGACGGTGCTGGTGCTCAGGGTTATCACAAGATCATGCGAATGTCAGATACGAGGAGGAGTAGTTCTTAATATTTCTTGTTGTGTCAATTAATGCTGCATCGTTCATTCCGACTACCTGCTGCTGCAGCGGCTGCTGCTGTTCCTACTGTTAATCTTACTTGTTCTTCGCTGCTAAACTACTTTACTTCTACCGTGTACTCCAGCACTACTACTACTACTACTACTACTACTACTACTACTATTAACTACTACTACTACTACTACTACTACTACTACTACTACTACTACTACTACTACTACTACTACTACTATTAGTATTATTACTATTACTATTATTACTACTACTACTACTACCACCACTACTACTACTAC